CATAAAATGATTAGTATCTATATACATATATATATAGATATGTATAGCCTTCAACACCGACGAGATTCATAGAATTATATACATGTCGTCGAGCAAACGTACCCCACGTTTGTCATCAATCTTTCCAGATTAATTGATTTCTCGATTATCTCAGATGTATATTTTGCTAAGATTTTATACGTTCGTACGTTATCAATTGCCTATTATACCTCACGCGATGGGACGGTTTTAGAGGGGTGTCGCGTTATCTCTGTTACGTGAAGAAAAGGGATTAGTCGTCTAAATATGCTTGCAAGCAGAACAATGGACTCAATTTTTCGATCATAACAAGGCACTTCACTTCATGCAGTGTTGTACCGTTCACAGCTAAGGTAGCAGAGTAGCTCGTCGCTCCGGCAGCGTTTGAGGCTGTGCAAGTGTACTCCCCGGCGTGTCTCGCGCTCACGGCCTCAATAGTCATTAAACTGACCCGTTTGCTGGTACTCGATATAGACACATCTCCGTGATTTTCCTTGGTGATGGGCTCGCCGTTCAACGCCCATGTTACCTCGATTGGCAGATCTCCTTTTACGACCGTGCAGACCGCCGAGACCGCTTCGCCCCAATTCGCGGGCTCATCGCCGATCGAGAACGGCGCTATCTGCGGAGCGACTGAAAACGATTTTCCAAAGCATGACAAACTCGCATGTAAACTTATCGAATTCGAAGACCTGCGTATCAATATTTGATACACGAGAAAAACTGCTGCAAGAATATCTATCGGAGGATGCTGTATGGAAAAACATTGCTCTATTCGCGATTTAATTTAACACAATCTTATTTCATTATCGATTTACGTTTTTGCAAATATCTTTTTACTGCATTTGTACGATCATTCTTTTTGTCTCGCGATATGTATAAGTAATATCTCATAGCTTCGGTTTTTCGGGAAATATATAAAGTAATGAAGTATGAGAGAATATTCGTAGTGTCATTGTTTAATCTAACTTGGTGCGATAAGATAGCGGTTCACCGCGAATGCACGACAAAACTAGACGACAGACGCACGCGTCCTCATCGTCCCCCGTATTCGACGAAGCGCAAGGGAATGTTGAAAAGATCGTGAGCGCGGATGAGGAAGTTGAAGAGGAGGATGGAAGGAGGGACGTTTTGTCTTCGTCCGGCGGAGAAAGAATGGTCGAGACGATGTCGCGTGTATAATGCTCGTGTATACATGCGCGCGTGTTACCGTTCACGGCTAGAGCGGCCGTATGGCTGGAGGCCCCGGCTTTGTTCGACGCGGTGCAAGTGTACTCGCCGGCGTGTCTGGCCGCGACAGCATCGATCGACAGGACGCTGAGACGCTTGCCCTTCGTGATAGAGAATTGATCAGTATTCTCGGCGGATATCGGCTCGCCGTTGAATGCCCAGGTAATGTCCATCGGGAAGTCCCCCTTGAGAATAGAGCAGGTCGCAGAGATCGCCTCGCCCGAGTTCACCGGCTCGTCGCCGAATGTAAAGGGGAAGATCTGCGGAGCAACTGCGATCGCGGATCGCGCGTGAGAAATTCCGACAGGCTCTATTCGTGTCGATGTTAATCCTCTCGCGAATTTATTACGGTCGTCGGGAATCCTTACAGTCCTCGCGAAAACGGTCGTCGGGAGTGATTACGGCGATTAGGAGCAAGGGTGTCGTAGCATGAGAGATTAAGACAATGCGATAATGCGGAGGGAAATTATGATGAATTATGAATGTCGCAGTGGTGGGTTTAGGCAAGTGCTGACGTTTAGCTGACGTGCAGGTGTAATGTATGTTCTTCTGGGGATAATGTAGGTACCGTTGACGGCGAGGATGGTCGAATGGCTGACGTCGCCGGCTTTGTTTGTAGCTACACACGTGTACTCGCCCGCGTGCCTCGCAGCCACGGATTCGATGCTGAGAGCGCTCATATGCTTATTTATCCTCGTGATCGTGATATCCGTATCGTGCGCGCTAATCGGTTTGCCGTTAAACTTCCAAACAATTTTTACGGGAAAGTCGCCTTTCATAATAGAACATGTCGCCGAAACCATGTCTCCCCAATTCGCCGGTCCATCACTGATCGCGAAAGGCCCTATGTGTGGTGCAACTATAATATTATGATAACAAAAAATTAGATAAATTTCAAGATCGTTTTAATTATC